CTGTGAAATTCCACGCTCTTAATATACTTCCTTCCCCATGATCCTTGTCGCCAAAGAATCCTGGGTATGGTTTTACTCCCATTTGCCATCTCCCAAAATACCTGATTAGGTACATATTTCCTGATACATTATTTTCTTTCAGTGGCCACCACTATCAGCATTAGCAACAGCAACAGCTGGAAATTACACTAGATTTTCTTCCCCCACCTCCACCCCCTAGAAAATACCACCCAAGCAATTTTATGTTCAGGGAGACACCAGAAAAAGAACCTCAAATTATCCTCAAAATATCTTTCAGGCTATGCATTTAGGATTGTACAAAGAACTTAGAAACAAAAAGGAATGTAGAAAGGTAAGTAGTGGTACCTTGTTCACAAACTTAATTTGTTCTATGATTTTGGAAAAAGTAGCCACCCACACTTGTGTTTGTGTGGGAAAGGTGACCACAGTCATGTTGGAACCCAATGCAAAGTCTGCAAACAAAAACAATGTTTTGCCAAATGCTTCCATTTGTGAACCAAATTATTTGCAAAGGAGAGTGTTGGTGAACCGCGGTGCCACCGTATAGTTCAGGAACACTAGTGATCAAACATCAAAGAGATTTGGTTCTGGTGAACACTGTGGCAGAAAGTTGTACTGAGAAGAAGCCACTGGGTCAAGGTTACTTTCAGGTTGGCAAAGATGTTAAAGATGACCTGCTATTTGGAACTGCACAAGAAAGAAGTAAAAAATGTACGATGCATAGAATTCCTCTTAGGCAGCTCTCCTTGCCTGGCCGTGGGCAAGAGCTCTTGAAGCTCCTTCCCTCTGAGCTCACTCAACGTCAGCATTAGGAGGCCATCAGGAGGCTCTGGAGTTGGAGGGCTTGGCTCCAGTCCTGGATCGTGGCTCACTGCTGTCAATCTGGGCAAGTCACTTCCTCATCCACATAATGTGGATAATAACAGAGTTCCCTACAGATGGTTAAAGTGAAAAGTAAATGAGCTCAGAGGCGAAGGTGTTCATACTTGGTGCACAGCTGGCAAATAATGGTGATAATTATTCTTGTTCTTAGGAAGATTGTATCTTCATAAGAGCTTTCCACAAGGAAACACTCCTGAAAATGGCCACAACAGGAAAAATTTCCCGTTGAATAACTCACGTACAATTTTCTTTTTTTTTTTTTCCTCTCTCGCTCTTTCTACCAATTTGAATATAAAATATCTTACAAACTATTATAAAAGTTTCCTGGCAAATGTGAGGCTTTCTTGTGAATACATCTTCATTTTCTTTCATTCATTCATTCAATCAGAGATATGCTGCCTGTTACATGCAAAGAATCATGCTGATTCTGTAGAATATGAAAATGTAAATCACTATCTCTATGTTCAAAGGCTTTGCAGTTTAGTAAGGAAATACCATATTTACATAAATAACTATGCTAAGCAGTAGAAGCTTCAAGAAGGATAAGAAAAACTCAGAAGAGGAAAGATTAATCTGAGAACACAGAAGTCTCCTGTGATTATTAGTTAGGTGTTATCTTCAATGGCTTGTGAAGGATAATGTGGTTCAGCAAAGCAGAGCTCATAGAATAGGTTAGTGGAGGATATCACAGAGTAAAGAAATTCCTACAAAAGGCATGTGCACAGAAAAATGCTGGTGGTCTGCAAGGCTCTGGTGTGCAGAAGACCTAGCAGGCTGGCTGTGAACAGAGGTTCAAATACAATTTCACTACACTCTGTTTCCACCTTGAGTTTCAAGGCTTGCAGCAGTGCAACTTCAGTGAAGTCTGAGTCAAGGAAATTGGTCGCTTTTGGAAAGTGTCTTCCATCCCATCCTTTGTGTGATACCCGCATTACAATTAAGAGACAGTAAATAGATCTGAAGTTTCCACAGCATGGTTTTGGATTTGTCAGCTCTCAGGAGCTCCTCTGTCTTTATGCTGGAAGCAGGAATTTTCATCTTCCCTCTGCCAGTCTTTAATAGCACAGGAATCTGAAGTTCACGGCCTCAGCCAAGAAACTCCCATGGTGGGAACAGGAAGACTGTTTTAAAAGAACCAGGAAGCAGCTGAGAGAGAAAGGCAGCAGCCTGTGAACACAGAGCTGCTTCAGGATGGACAGCGATGGGCAGCTGGGTGTTAGCTGTTTACCTGGGTTGTCAACCTCTCCCTGACTCTTTCATTAAACACCCAGCTATCCTTCAATTGCCCTCATAGAACTTAAACTGAGTCCAATTCTCAGCATTTCAAAACCACCCAGTGGCAGAAAGAGGCGCTGACCTCAAAAGAGGTCCTTTGTTCAGCGCAAGGAAACTCACTCTTGAGGTATAAATGCCTTACAGTGTGAAGCAGGAGGGATGCACATGGCACTCATCCTCTTAGGTGATGCAAATCATGCATTTATGGCAAAGTGATTTACAGATTTGAATTTTTTCTAAAGTATTATCTACAACTGCTAGGAACTTAGAATACTATCAAAGTGACAGAAATAAATATTTTGATTATGTTAACCTTATTATACTAGGAAACATAATTTCTGGGCCTCAGAATAATTCATTTATGCATAAACTCCAGGCGGCAATAGTCGATGATCGTATTTTCTTCACTTTTCCTTGTGTTGTGTATTCCTTAGCACAGGAACCCTGTTTACCAATTCCTCTGCCTCCTTTCTCAAAGTGTTACCCTCATCAAGACCCCTAATTAAGCCTGATCCCAGACTTACTGTGGTTGATTCAGTGAAAGGGTTGGAATTTGAATTAGGAAGAAGCTTCTCAATTATCATGATCACATAGACTGCTTATGTATCTGTTTCAGCTCCTATTTTCCCAGAGAATCTACTCTTCTCAGTAGGCACCATGTTGCGCGCAGAGGAAAACTGACCGGCGCAGCTCCAATGAAACAGGACACAGGAGACGCTTTTGTGGACGACAGTTAACTGCTAGTTTATTTACGCGGGCTCTGGTTTATATATTTGGCTGTGACCAATCACAGGCTGCCACAAGGAAGCAGGGCGGGAATGGGATGCAGGCTCCGGCTACTATATCCAGCTGTGGCCAATCAGGAGTTGCCACTGAGTATGGAGTGGAGCGCGGGGTGCGCATGGGTTGGCTAATTTAAAGAGGGACGTAGCGCATTGCGGAAGCTGGCGTGGTCCTTAGTCCCGGCTGGGGTATGGTATGTTGAGCGCCTGTGCCCAACAAAAACCTTAATCCCACCCCTTTACCAATGAGCTACAAACGGCCAACACTCAACCCTGCGTGGATCTTACCGGGGGCTAATTACAGACCAGACTTCTTTCTATAGCCAGTTACTGTTTACTTTTCATCTTTTTAAAACTATTTTTCTCCCCTTTTATTTTGGTTCCCTTTTTTCTTTTATTTTGGATGTCCTTTCTAGAGACAAATAAGGTGACAAGAAATGTTACTCTTGAGAGTAACATTTAAATGCAACAATATTACTCTTGAGAAAAAAAAACATGTCTTGTGAAATAGTTTCATTTTTAGCACATAAACGATCAAACGTTGGATTTCTTTATTTAAGTACAGATCAAAGTATATTTTGGATACTAACAATTTATTTTTTAATGTTGCCCAAATCTTATGTTTAAGACTGTTACCAAATATATATCTTTATAAATATTATACTGTTTAAGTCAATTATTTGAAAATGTATTGCTGTTCAAGGAAAGAAACTGAAATAAAATTTGCATTACACTAACAAGGAGACAGTGTAACTGAGTGGAAAGAGAAATGGACCTTACAGAGCAAAGACCTGGATTTAAGTCTCAGTTGATTTATGAAACCTGTAAGCTGACAAAATGTCTCTGAGGCTTTTAGTAAAAATAAGACTCTGAGTCTTATTTCACAGGGTAACCATGAGAGTAAAACTAGGTAACAAATATTTTGGCTCCTAATGAAGATCCATGCATTCCTGATAGACTTAAAAAGAAGTCCTAACTTGTTCTTTGGTACTGAAACAGCCTCCCTCTGTGTGTGTGTGTGTGTGTGTGTGTGTGTGTGTGTGTGTGTGTGTGTGTTGAAATAAGAGTTGGTTTTCTTTCCCTTCCTTCAGGATTTATTTATTTACTTTTCACATTCAGCTAGCTCATTTATTCAACAGTAACCACCAGTCCTGCATTCTGATAATGCTGTTGCCACCAAGTAGATATGAGGGAATCCTTTACAGAAAACTCTAGGTCTTGTGAATAACAGCACCCCAGTGTGCCTGACAGCAAGAGCTGTTGTTTCCCCTCTTCTTCCTGGGTCTTGTAACCTGAGTGCCATAGCTTTGATCTGATATTCCAACATGACCTCACTTTTTCTTTCTTACATTCTTTCTTTCTTTCTTATTAAATGAAAAGTCCACAATCCACAGTTTAAAAATCTTTCTCTCTCCTATATTCCTAATGCCTCCTCCTTGCAAGTTGGAACTCCTTTAAAGATACTTAAGAAAGCTAAGACTTACGACACCAGTAGGAGAGCTAGAGACCCACCAGCGATTGCCTGTAAAAACATACTCAGCCATTTGCACATGTTCAGTCTTTGCCTTGTCAGTGACATATCAGTATCTTTGCTTTTATAAGTCAGGAAACTGAGGCTCAAATTTGTTCAATACTTTTTCCAGGGTGGTTCAGTTCATGAGCAGCACAAGAGGATCAAATCCAGAATGGAGTCAAGGTTCTCCTCACCTCTTCCCAATCTAAAAAATGTTCAGATGACATATTTGATTCCAAATACCTGTACCAATCATCAGAAGTTTCAGAGAAGATTTTTTAAAATATGAGTGCTTCAGTCCTCACCCAATCAGTTGAAACCAAAAATCAGAGACAGGAGCCCCAGAATGTGTAATTTGTTTTTAATTTAGCAGATAAGTCTGTTGTATTGTGAAGGTGAAAAATCTCTGATTCAAATGTGTTACTCCTTTGAAAACATTTCCTGTTGCTTTAACATTTGTTTATTTAATGATATGGCCCTATTATATAATATCTCCTTAACACATAGTTTCTTTCTTTTTGTAACAGGTGGATGAGATATTTATTGATTCTGCTCTAAACAAGCACTATGTCAAGAATCAAGTAGTCAGACTGACGTACGTATGTTTGGTCAAAGGTGGTCGTGATCCTGAAGGTCAGAGGACAGAGGATCCCTTACTAACTATGTGTCTCTATAGACTTGGCTCTTGGCTGGATTTTTATCAACATCACCTCCACTTTAGTCTCAAGACACAGGGCTGACCACCAGTTTTGACTTTAAAAAATATTCAATAATTTGAGGCTAAGGGAAAGTGATGTATTGAATTCCCTAAGGGACAATTATGCCAAGTCACACAATCACAACTAAATTCTAGGAATTGATTGTGAGGTTTGGAATTTAGATCTCAAATCTGCCAAGCCCATACTACCAAGAAAATCAGCAGTGCACACAAAGTTGTATGCTTTTCAAGAGATTTGTCATTTCCAAAGTATTAAAAAGGCAATAATCAGCCACAAAATGAGACCTTAAGTTTCCATGTTCTAAAAAAAAAAGAATTCTCTTGGGCCAAGGACTTAGCTCACTGATGCCTGAGTTCAATCCCTGGTACAAAAAAAAAAAAAAAGTTTCCATGTTCTGAAGCCCTGGTGACAAGAGGCATGCCCAGACAAGAAGATGATCCTGCTGAAATAACTATTCTTTGGTTGTGGTAGACGAAGAGGCTCCTATCAATGGCAGCAATAGCTCAGAGTCTTCATTTGCATTATTTTGAAAGTCACATAGCACAGCCTGTATGTCATAGACACAAGCACATGAACTTGTATGAACCTGAACGCATCTTCTTAAAGAAAAAATCATGTTTATACATGGCTTTATTTGAAGGAAATAGCAATCACTTTGCTTCCCCCACAGACTACTGCTTCTTTCTGGTAGATTTACTTAGAATTTAAAGTTCTTCACATTTTTACTTATAATAATGTCCAGCAGGACTTTTTATTTATTTTTTAGGATTTTTATTTTGAAGAGAATAAAACCAAATGAAATAAAACACTGAACATTGTATATGACTTTAAAACAAAATACAAGGAAATCAGTAATGGCTACCATAATGCCTCTTATCTTCACACAAGTTGCCCATACCATTAGGCATAATAAAATCAAACAAAATAGTACAAAATAAAGTCAATAAAAACAAAACAATGAATGCAGTGAGGACTTCAAAACAAGATAATAGTAAAGCCACAATGTGTACCATAATGCCTGTTATCTTCAAAGTTATTGCTTGTACCATCAAACATGATACAATAAAAAAATAAAACAAAGTGGAATAAAATCAGTCAAAATAAAACAATGAAAGCAATACAGGGCTTCAAAACAAGCTAATAGAAAATCAGTATTGGCTACCATAATATATTTTGTTATCTTTAAAATAGCTATCCATGCCATCAAATATAATAAAATTAGCCAAGTTCCAGTAAAGATGGTGGATAGATAGCATCAGGCTGCAGAGGCTCCCAGAGATAGTCAACTTAGATTTCAAAATAACACAGCATATGGGAAATCCTGAAAAGAGGGAGATGAATATTCTCAATCCAGAAAGAAACTAAGATGAGAAGAACCAATCAAACATACATTCCCGGTGTACTCTTGGGAACAGCTAACGGCTCAGTGTCCCTGATGCAGCACTGGTACGCACATTGGCCCGGCCACAACTTATGGAGCCACCTGAAATCACTCTCCTTGGAATCACCAGAAATGCAGTCACACTGAAGTCAGGGACCGGCAAGCCAAACAGAGAGCTGAGCTGGTGGGGAACCTGCATGGATCTGTGGTGAGTGCTGGTAATAAAACCATTCCACAGAAAAAGGAGCTCCAACAGATGACATTCTGGGACCGGGCAGACTGGCAAGAACAAGGGGCAGCAGTGACTTCAGTCAATTACTCCCTTCTCAAATGGGATTGGTGGGATGGGCTTGGCCTGGGTCACACCCCTGGCCAATATCCAATATGTTAGCCCAAACCAATTCCCTACACCCTACATACACAAATGCAGTGACAGACTCAGCGCTGACCCAGAGGAGAGGGGCCAGCATACGCTGCCCCTGTTTGCATCTCAATAGCAACCTGAAGTGGGCAGGATCATCTAGACAGCACGCTTCAGAAGAAGAATTATAACCAACCAAGAAAGAAACTGGGGCCTTCTATATACACCTTTATGAAAGAAACAAACAGTATGAGAAGAGGAAACAACAAGAAAAAGTCCCCAGCTCCCAAACCTGAGAATATTAATCCAGGAAAGGTAAATACAAAAGAGATTTGAGGACAGCAAACACAATATCAAGCACGGCACCAGTGGACATAAAGAGATATATTCAAGACCTCATAGGCGAGTTCAAAAGTGAAATATTAAACTAAGTAAAGCAAGATATAAGTAGATTAATAAAAGAATTGCTAAGCACCTCTCAGGAAGACACAGATGGAAGAATGGAGGAACAAAACAAAAGGGAAGAATTGTTTCATGAAGAATATAAAGAAAACGCAGAATACATGAAGCAGGTTCAAAGAAATGATAAAAACTCCTTCGAAAGCTGGAAAAACTGCTTGAAAGAAACTAAGGATAGATTATTTGAACTGGAGGACGGGTTTGCAATGTGGGATCATGAAAGGAAAAATTTCTTTAAAATAACAAGAAAACAAGCAGTAACAATACAAAGGCTAGAAGACAACAAGAGGATCTGTAATTTAAGAATAAAGAATGTGAATGAAGAAGCAGGGGTACAAACAAAGGAACTACAAAGCTTATTCACAGAAATAATTAAGGAAAACTTCCCAAGCATAGGAAAAGGAAATGATATTGAGATGTATGAGGCATACAGAACTCCACCCACCACCTACAACCAAAATAGAGCCACACCCAGGCATATAATAATCAAGATTCCAGAAATTCAATATAAGAACAGAATATTAAAAGATGCCAGAGACAAGAAACAGATAATCTATAAAGGAAGGCCCATCAGAATTATGGCAGGCTTCTGGACACAAATCATCAAATCAAGATGTGCCTGGAGTGAAGTATTCCAAGCCCTGAAAGAAAATAACTTCCAGCCCAGATTGCTGTACCCTGAAAAACTATCTCTAGAAATTAATGGAGAAAAAAGACAAAGAGGAACTGGGGGAATTTGTGACCACAATCCAACTCTACAGAGAATACTGTACAACATTCTAAAGAGAGAAAAAGTACCAGGATTCCAGGAACAGTGGCAGAGAGGCCTCAATGAATGGAGCAGAAAACAAAATAAAGAAGACAAACAGACAATTAATGATGGAAAAAGAGCACAACAGAAATGAGGCAGAGAAGGTTGGCTCTAATCTCTAATATAGATGGCATTGATACACTAAATTTAAAAAATGAGAGAATCACAGGCAAAGTAGATCAGGAAGTAGGGTCCACCAAGATGCTCTTTATAGGAAATATAATTAACCTGAAAAAGGGTATATGGACTGAAAATCAGATATGAGCAAACAATGCTCTATGTGATGGAGAACCAGAGAGTAATAGAGGCAACTAGACTGGTATTTGAGGATAGGTGGGAAAGACAGGCTTTAATAGGTAAAGGAATACAACTAGAGATCAAGTCCAGGAGGGAGAAGGTTTGGAACCATTTAGGTAAATAGCAGGTTGCCCCTGCCATTTAAAACTGAGGGTGTTGGTGAGACCCAAAAACGCATAGTATTCCCTGGGGGAGTGAAAGGGGAGAAGTGGTCTTAAAAAAGACAGCAGAAGATATTATTAATAGTGTATCAGGAATCAAAACCCATATTACTCACACCACTCTGCTTAGAGAGAACTTATTGTGTCCCAGTTTGTCTACAAGCACTAGATCTGAGGGCACAGAAAACCATCCCAAAAATGTCAGAATATAGGACAGTAATCATCTTTAATTTCCTACTAACTCGATCTGGAGCCCTGTATAACTTATACTGTTGTATCATGTGATCTTAATTAAATCTGGTTTGTTTGATTGCTGTTTGTTATCGACAGATTTTATTCAAAACTATTATAATTGATGGTATCAAGTCTGAGAGTATAGACAACTACACTGAAAATGATAAGATTCACTATGATACCCATTCTGGTTTGATTACTATCTGTTTTTGAAGTTTTACACTATCTACAAAGTTGTGTTTCTATCAATACTGTTATGTACTGATATATTCAGTTATACTATATCTCATGATAGAGAAAATTCTATTGAAGATAACAAAAGATAACACAGTAACCACGGTAGAACTCCTTGTACAGCAGTTTTATATGTCTTTCATCTTATGTATCTATAGAAATATGTTTTGTTCTGTCCTACTTTGTTTTGTTTCCCCCTCTAATATAGAAAGGATAAAAATACATGTTAAGACTCATGCATGTGTAGAACCTATAAACAGTTTATGAGAACTGATCTTACAACACGTGATAAAATGAATATTTTGAAGGAAAAAAGACACTACACAGTACCCAGTGCTGATCCCAGAGTGTTACGATGTGAAATCCAGCATACTATTATTCTTTGTCCAGAGTGATTTTAGTCTACTTTGGTTTGTTTAACCTCAACATCAATGAAGATATGGATAACTGCATATATGTTTAAGTGTACAGGATTGATAACCATATTACTAAGTTTTTGTCAGATAGTGAATAGAACTATTTGCAATCTCACTGTTTGAATTCCCACTTATATGTTCCACTTTTGTATCTTGAACAATTATTTGTAAGAGGACAATATGTAAACATCAACTAGTGATTTACTACTTTTTTCTTTGAAAGTATATATATCTACCAATTTACTGTTTTTAGTCTTTCTTTAAACAAATAATAATAATAATAATAATAATAATAATAATAATAATAAAATTAGCCAAACCAAAACAGAATAAAACCAAATTAAACAGAACAATCAGAACAATATGGGTTTCAAATAGGGATAATAGATTAATAATGGCCACTGCCTTCCCTTTTTAGACACTTTTCCCCTTTTACTTTCACAGTATGTGTTGTGCATTTTGGATCCCACTAACTCCTTTAGTTTTTTTTTTTTTGTACTAGGGAAACACCACAATGCTCACCCATATGACTCTGAACCATTTCACCCATCAGCATGATCTCAAGTTGTATCCACTTATCTACAAGAGTCTTGAGGTTATCTTTCTTTATAGTTGAGTAGCTTGCCATTGTATAAAAGTTCCATGACTCTCTTGTCCACTCTGTAGCTGATGGGCAAGCTACCCCCACTTCTTTCTGGTTCCCTGTCACATGGAACATTGATCTCTCTCTTTTGACTTTCAGTCTATGAACCCTCTTTTGGGTTAAATATGTTTCTTGTATAAAGCATATTGATGGACCCTGTCTCCTGATCCACTCTGCCAGTGTTTCTTTTATTGGTGAATTGAGCCCATCTATATTAGTGATTATGGCTAAAATGCCCTGCCTCATCTCTGCATGCACCAGCCACTAGTGAACAGTCTGGAAAAGCAGAAGACAACCCTAACCAGTGCCAATGGCCACCATCAGATACCCATAGCCAGCACTGGCCAGAAGAAGCAGCCAGTCACACTTTGGAGCAATTGTAGCCTATGTGGGAAGTGCCTAGGACCCCACTACTTGCTTGTCCAGAGGATCCCAGGAATATGTCAAGATGAAGAAGCAAATGACAGTCTCTGGCCTCCAACCCTAGCAGAGCTGGTGCAGGAGATGTAAACATGGAAGAGATTGGGAGCTGCACACCTGAAGTTTCTGAAGCGATGGCAACTGAAGTAAAGGCTATAAAAGAAATTAGAACAGAAACGCTATCTCAGATAAAAGAAGAAATGCAAACATAATAAAAGAATTGCTGAGCACCTCTAAAGAAGACATAGATGGAAGAATAGAGGAGCATAGGAAAATGAGAAAAACATGGAATGAATAATATAAAAAAGATTTAGAATACATGAAATAGATTCAAAGAGATAGCCAGGAAATTAAAAACTCCATTGAAAGCTGGCAAACCTGCTTGAAAGAAACTAAAGATAGACTTTCAAACCTTGAAAGCTTGCAGCTTGCAATCATGAAAGGAAAGATCTCTTAAAATTAACAAGGAATGAGAAAGTAACAATTCAATGGTTGCAAGACAAGCAAAAGAAATATAACTTAAGAATAATGAGTATGAATGAAAAAGCAGAGGTCAAGACAAATAACATTGCAAGTCTATTTGCAGAAATAATATTAGAAAACTTCTTAATCATAGGAGTGGAGCTGGGTGCCACCTCCAGGCTGAGCTGGTTATGGTGGGAAACCTCAGCAATGGCTGCTGGAATGTGCACTGGGGCTGGGCTCATTTCTACCAGTCTGCTCCCAGCTAGGAGCTCATGGAGGGAACCAGCCACAGTTCTGGTTCCAAGCTTATTGGGCCAGATCCAAAATGGCTCCAGCCAATTGCTCTCTCCCATGGGAGACCTGAACCCTCTGCTCTCACTGCCAGCCAGTAAAGTTTGCCATGTCCACTGCTCCCTTCCACTGCCAGTCTTTTTGCAGAGGCCTCTGGGCACACCAGCCACTACCATCACAGCAGCCATGCACCCCCAGATTCCAATAGCTCCTCTGGCACAGTGAGTCCAGTTCTGAGTAAAGGCACCACCAGCTGCTACCTTCTTCTTCATTGAAGTTCTTCTTTTTTACTTTTCCCTCAGTTCTCACTTTAGGTTCTTCCTGGGTCCAGGGTACCATTTCCTTTTTCTTATCTTCCCCATGATGCTGTATTCCAGCATCTGGACTGTTTTTCTCAGACAGGCTGTTTATTCTGCTGCTTATTGTCCCACCATCTTCCTGGACCACTCTGCAAGACTTTAAATATTATTTGGATTACTTAAGAGCTGTAAAAGCGTGTGAATGCTGAAACTTTCTAGATTTTACGCACTCTGTTTTCAAATTCTGATTTATCATAGCATTCCAACATTATCACAGTTTTAAGAATTACTTTAGATTTATAGCTCTTATCATTATGTAATTCTTGTGGTGGTCCAGAGAAAGTCTATCTAGTGACCAGTGTTAATTACTGTGATTTAAGGTTATCTGTATGCCACTATGACATTCAATTGTAATTATGTATATCTTCCTATCTCAGGACTAAATGGATGGCAATAGGTAAAATATCTCAGAATTGATAAGATTTCCTTGTGTAGCTAACATAGATATTTTATTGTATAAAAATAAGAGATGGAAGATAAACATATATTCATTTAGAATTTATGAGAACTTCTAATAACAATTTTTCTATATTAAATGTATGCAAAAACTCCATTCCACGGGTGAAGGAAGGTGACCTTGTTTATATAAAAATTCAAGAAATGGCACATTTAATCTTGGAAGACACTATTGTTTTCTTTAAGTATTTTATGTAGAAAAGGGAGTTGCTGTTTTATGTAGGTCCCCAACCAGTAGACCTAAAACTTAGGTCATGGAATGTCACTCTTTGAATATGGACCTCTCTCTTGTGTGTCATAGTCCAGAGGGAGACAGTGTGACAGCTGACATCATCATGGCATTCCAGTTCCCATCCACTGAGCAAAGGGCAGTGAGAGAGAAGGAAATCCAGAGCATCTTGAATCGGAAGATAAGGAATACAAGAGCCTTGCAAGTAAATGTCTCATCAGTTCAAGTTAATGGTAAGTAGGTGGCTTTCTATGGGATGCGAAGTTCTCTATTAAGTTCATATTTTGTGCCCTTGTTTTCATTCCAAATAATAACTACAACTCACATGGAGGAGGGCTAGGAATGTAGCTCAGTTTGGTGGAACACTTGCTAATATGCACAAGAACCTGAGTTACAGTTCCAGCATCACAAAAATTTAAAATGTTTGAATAGAATTAACATGGAAAAGTATAATTTAAGGAATTGATAGTTCTAGATTTTCCTATTCTCTAGTGAGAACAGGTCTGGCATATGAAGTGATTTCTCATTCGTCCCAAAATAAAGACAAGCTTTTATTACCACTAGAGGGTTAATCTGACCCAACCACTCACTGCCTCCATGATTAAGCAGGTGAAAATAGCAAGGGATGAGCAATACTTGTATTGCGGAGGGGATCTTTCAAAAAAAACCCACCACACTTATTGCCTTTGCAAAGTGTGGATCGGCTGATTGTGGTGGTGTAGGCATACAATTCCAGCTACTCAAGAGGCTGAAGCAAGATGATGGTAAGTGAGAAACCTGCCTAGGCAATGAAGTGAGACCTTACCTTAACATCAAAATGGCTGGAGTTCATTGGTAGGGTACCTACCTCACACGCATGGACCTGAGTTCAAATTTGACCTCTCCTACTCCACCCACAACCCTACACACATATGCACAAAGGATAGATTTGCATATGGTCATGTTATGAAGTTTTTGTTAGCTTCTTTCCTATGAGGATTTGAGAAAGTGGTAGACCAACTATGGAGCCACAGAAGCCATCAGATAAATAGTGCTTTAAACGTCACTAAACTAGGAAGAATGTTCCTGGAACCCCTTACTCATCATTCCACTTCTCCCTCTTCTGATTGCTCTAGCTCTTTACACCACCTTCACCTGCCTCAACTGCAGAGGAGTAAAGTTTACCAGGGACCATCACTGTGCTCTCTATATACAGTCCATAAATTTCTATATCCCAATGAAGTAGAAAAAGTCAACTTCGAAGATGTAACAATAAGCCAAAAAGGTTAGGAAATGTACTAATTAAAAATAGCTTAGATCGCTAATTTCTTGAGAGGCTTTTAAAAAGCACTCTGTATTCAAGCCCATTTTATAAATTCTATGATATTGGTCTCTAGGAAATCCATCCCTTACATTAGTCTTTGAGAATTCTGAGGAATCTGCTTAGACAGAAACCTGTTAACCCTCAGACACTAAGCTGCTCCTTTGCATCTGCTTCCAGTAAATAGCTAAGTATGAATTTCCCTTACAAATCCCAGTGTGCACCACATTTATGAGAATCAAATCAAGTGATTTGTGTGCCCAGCTTCAAAGCTGATTGATTCCTCTTGAGGAAACCTCAGCAAGGAGTGAAACTCCAAGGTAATAGAACAGGCAGCAGTTTACTGATGTGACAGAGTCAGCTACTCAGGGAGTAAAACTCTGAACCTCTCCCAAGCAGGAAGGAGGAACCTGTCAAGTGCTTAATCCACTGTCTTTGTTAGGTGGTGAGGCAGAAGAACCTAGATGGTGAAATAGTGGAAATTCCAACAAGTTACATGCTATACTGTGCATAATTGCAAATAATGAGTAAATCTGGGAACTTAAAAACCAGACTATCTGAAATAAAAGAGGACATAACAAAACAGGTCAGAACAATTTAAACAACATAGTGTTTCACCACAAGACAACCCGACATAACAATAGCTACCATAGTGTCTCTTTCCTTGAAATACTTGAGTATAACTTCATATACTATAGCATCAAACATATCAAGACAGTGTAAAATCATTCAAGAGAATGAAAGTATTACAGGGTATTCAGAACCAACTAACAGAGGATGAAAATGGTTACTATATTATCTCCTTGTCTATAAAAGTTTTTGTTTATACTATCACATATAATAAAATCCAATAAGATACAACATGATAAATTGATGGAGACAGAAGAACAAAAGCTTGATGGGACTTCAAAATAAGATGATATTAAACTAGCACTACCTATTATATTGTCTTGTTTCCTTCAAAATAACTGTTCTACCATCACAGACAATAAAATCAAACAACCCAGAATAGAACCATTCCAATTAATGAATGAAAACATTATAAGGCTTCAAAACAATATAATGGGTAATCATGTTTACCACATACTTTTATGTATTCTTACCATTTCTTACACTAGGGAAACTACTCGGTATGTATACATGTGAGTTTGATTTATTTTACTTATGAGTACGGTTTCAAGCTGTGCTCATTTATTTATAAATATCTCAATGTGATCATTTTTTATAGTTGAGTGGTTCTCCATTGTATAAAAGTACCACAAATTTTTATCCATTTCTCAGTTTATGGACACTTAGGTTGTTTCCAAGATCTGGTTATTACAAATTGTGCTGCTATAAACATGGGTGCACATATATCACTGTGGTATGATGTTTTCAGTTCTTCTGGGAATATGCCTAGAAGTGGAATAGCTGGAACAAATGGGACTTCAATCCCAGCTTTTTGAGAAATCTCCAGACTGACCTCCACAATGGTTGTACCAGTCTACACTCCTACCAATAGTGGAGCAGAGTTCCTTTTTCCCCACAGCCTCTCTAGCATTTGTTGTTGTTGGTTTTCTTGATCCTGGCCATTCTTTCAGGGCTGATATGAAATCTCAGTGTGGTTTTAATTTGCATTTCTCTAATGACTAATGATGATGAGCATTTTTTCATGTATTTATTTGCCATTTGTATTTCTTCATCTAAGAATTGTGTATTCATCTCAGATGGACATTTTTGGACTGGATCTTTGAATTTTGGGGGTCTGATTTTTTTTTTAGTTCTTTATATGTTTTAGACAAAAGTCCTTTGTCTGTTAACCTGATCTTAAGACAAAACATGATCCTGGAAATAGGGCAGAGGCAAGGCCATATAACAAGTGACCAGTGGCAGGTGCCTGGGCATAGGAAATCGTCTATAAAAATGTCTTTGGGAAAATGAGGAATTAGTCTTCTCTTGTAACTGGCAAAGCATCAGCACTGCCAGGACATGCAGTGCTGGCAGCCATGAGATGGGATGTGGTTAATAGTAATTGAGGACCAGAACCACAGTGAAATATTTTGCTTTATCAGGAGAACAATGAGCTGTCACTGAAGGTCTCAAACATTTCAGAAAGGGAATGAATTAACTGAGCAAGCCTGGAAGTGGGAAGTTCTTTTGTTCCTGCAGATGAGGAAAAATGGTAGTTTTAAGTAGAGTAATGGCAGAGCAACTCAACTTCAAAACTAGCTGGCCAGGCCATGTTTGGAGTGTAATCCATACCAGTCAAATGAATTTTCCTTTTGATATTTAATTAGGTGGAGCAAGAAATAAACCTATCATTTCTTAGTTCATATTGTGCTCTAAATAGGTGTGATTCTTAGCAGACATCCTAAGTGTGATGTGTGTGAGAGAGTACATTCCCTTCAATAGACAGCTCGATGTTTGCTTGTAAACTTGGAGACTTTCATCCTGGAGAGTGAGAAACTAGTTGTGTTACATTAACCCACATGCACCTTAGAACAAAATCATCCCTTAGGAAAGAAAACAGAAGAGTGGATGTCTCGGTTATTTATCTCTCATTACTGAGACAAAATACTTGACACTGAAAATGAATAAAGGAAAGGTTTATTCATCTAAGAGTTTTCCAAGGTTTTAGTTGGTACTGAGGCTCCAAGGCAGGATGGCACGGCTAAGGGGAATCATTCGTGACAGCCATAAGCAACAAAAGTAAAAAGGGTGAAGGGAGGAACATGTCTCCTTCCTCCCTTGCATTGCACGCTGCTTCCCCAAGCCTGGGGAGTACAGCACTCACACCACCAGTCCCAGCACTAGACAATGAGCCAATCACAAGTGCTGGATTCAGCTGCCTCCATGACTGCATGAGGCATTGAGGGCAGCATTTAAACTCAAACTATAACGGTGGACTTCTGACAAACAGGCCAGAGGGAGTCGTTCTTCCCATGAGGACTTCATGTCACCAGAACACCTCTGAGCCACCTGGAAGAAGGAAACAAAATCTTAGTAACTGCCATCAGGATGACTAGAGAACTGACTTTGCGAGTCTACAGGGCTGACTTTACTACCGATAGAGTGTCAGTCCTTCACAGTTTAAGAAAGCTTCAGTCTGCAACACACACCTACTTCTACTAAGGCATACTGTAAGCAAAATAGTGCATCTGGAAATACAGAGATGGACAGGATGGAGTGCATGCTTACACAACAGTAGCTTTAAATGCTGCACTACAGTCCTCAGGTTCTCTGCATCGAAAACTGGTCATTTCCTATAACTTAATAATATCCTATCTTTCAGATTGTGGTAAACGAGCTGCGCCACTAGCAGTCAACAGAATAATGTCTGGAGAACTTGCACCCAAGGGTGCCTGGCCTTGGCAAGCTTCTCTTCAGCATGACGGTATCCATCAGTGTGGGGCCACCTTGATTAGTAACACATGGCTTGTCACTGCTGCACACTGCTTTAAAAGGTAAGGTGTTGCCCTAAATCGGATCCTTGTACTTCTAAAAAAGTCAGACTTTTATCAAGTTCTGCATGATAGTCAATGTCCCAAATATTACTGAAGTAAAATAAGAAAAACTTTCAGGATTTTTTTCTAAAATAACGTCATATTTGCACCCGTATTTGGAAAAGCTGGAGGGAATAGAGGAGATAGTAATCATTGCTCTAGTATTTGTCAGTCAAGTCCTCATAGTTTTAATTAAAGAAAGCAGAAGTCATCCTAACACAAACTATAGTCTAATGACATGTAAAATTAGTCCCTTCCCAAACAATACGTCCACTCACTACTAGTGTCTGTTGCTGCCAAACACGTAGGTCCATCTTGTGCTAATGAGAAATAATCATACTACTTGCAGAGTGAAACTGGTATCTTCAATGGATGTGGGAAGTTGGTAATTTAGCAGTTAACACACAACTGGTCCAATCAAATGTATAGCACTGACATATGAAATCCTTTAAAATTGGAGCTACTCACAAAACAATTCTAATCAACAGTTAGGAATGTCTACTGAAATACTGGTGACACTCTCTAGCCCACCTAAGATATCTCATCTCTGTATGCCCTGGACAGTGTGTATGCCAGAATGGGCAGATGATGTGGAAGTTTTGGTAGGGAAATGGATGTGTTGATTAACAAAAATGTAAACTTTAACAAGTTCTTAATTGTGTCAGATTAATGATCAAGAATAAAATGATTAATTAGTGAATGATTAGTTAATAAGTATAAATGGAAGGCTCAAAGTTGGGTGAAAAAAAGAAAAGCAGTACAGAAAGCAAGAATGTATAATAAAGTACTTAGGAAACTTTGTAAGAAGACAGTTCACTTGGAATCTATTGTCTCCAAGACTGCAGTGTGATCTAAATTGCACTTAAAATAATTAGAGCTAAGAAGAAATGAGATGTTAGACTCTTTGGGTAAGATCTTACCCAAGACGGTAAATTCAATCCTGGACAACACACTTCTGGAGAAACTGATGAACTGAAATTCTCTTAGAGAATTTTGACTGATGAAAAAATTGATAATGGGTCTCTTAATTTCAGGAGATTAAAATATTATCCTGAGAAAGCTATGATACACATAATTAATTGTATTAGTAGATCTGAAGTGCCGTCTCGTGGAAGAGAATTAGGGAACCAAGAAAGGACAGGCATAGCTGCTCAAAGATGAAAGAGTTTACAGGATGAAGAACACGCTTGCATCTGCCTAAGACCTCAAGCATGGACAGTCATTCCTTAAGAATAGTTTTGTAACCATTAGCACCAACAGCCAAAGTCCACTGTGCTATAAACATTTGGCCAAGTGTTCAAAATTTGCTTCAGATAATTTTTACATCCATTATCCTAAATAAGCCTAGTTTGGTAAGCTCTTTTTCACTGAGACAGACAAGAAAACTCAAAAAAAAATGTTCACAGTCATATGGTGAAGGAGAATGTTGGAATTGAAAACATACATCTTTCTGGTTCCAAAATTCATCTTTCAAACATTGGATTCACGAGATTACATAAAGTTTTTGAACCTATCCTACCCTGAGACTGATATTACTTCAGTCTATTATTGAGTTAAACAAGACAATTTATGACATTTATTTTTTAATAATAATCAAAAAATTCCAAGATTATTCTTTTTTTAATTATTATTTAAAGAAAGACAAGACAAAAGGGGGGACAGAAATAGTACATACTTTCAAAGAAAAGAAAGAAACAGTAATAAATCACTAGTTCACTAGTTGATGTATACATGTTGTCCTCCCACAAATAGTTTTTCAAGATACAAAAGTGGAACATACAAATGGGAATTCAACCAGGGAGATTGCAAACAGTTCTGTTCAGCTATCCAACGAAAACTAAGTAATATGGTTATCAGTTCTGTACACTTAGACATGTATGCATTTATCCATATCTTCATTTATGTTGAGACCTAACAAAACTTATTAGATTAAAATCCTTCTGAACAAACATTAATAATATTGCTGGATTTCACATCATAACACTCTGGAATCAGCACTGGGTACTGCAGTGCCCCTTTCTTTCCTTCAAAGTATGTTCATTTCATCATGTGTCATAAGATCAGTTCTCATAAACTGTTTATAGGTTTTACACAAGCATGAGTCTTAACATGTATTCCTATCCTTTCTATATTAGAGGGAGAAACAGAGCAAAGGAGGACAGAACTCAACATATTCCTATAGACACATAAAACTAAAAAGACATAAAGCTGCTGTATAAGGAGTTCTACCACAATTATTCTCTAAGGGACCTCTTTCGGGCCAGTTGTTACCATTTGAATTTTTACACCTGACTTTGGAAACAAAATACCCGTGTATTTTGTTTGTCATCGTTAATTTCCATCTCAGTGATGTAGCCTCAAGTTAAAAGTTTAGAAAACTTATTTTTAATCCTGATTTAGGATCTTTTATGAAAGTTTTTTTTAAGATTTGCCTTATGCAAATGTAATAAAACACAAGCAATATTAAATATTATTGGACTATTTTACAAAAGTTCTAGATCGGTCATTCCCACTTGCGTAAATATAATTCAAAGTCTAATCTTTATGTTTCCAGTTCCCCAAGTTTTGATTTATGTCTAGACATGATTTCATTGAGGAAACAGTTTTACAACTGTAAAATACAAAAATGATTGCAAGCTAATGATTCATATGCTACGTGATCAATTATCTTTACAAACCATCTTTAGTTAGCTTTTTTCATTGGATTAATTATGTACACTAAAAGGTTATAAGAAGATAAAATTTTTAAATAATAATCTCTGAACAATTAGCAATTTCAAAATTAGACTAACCCTATTAATACGCTTATATGTTCTTTTTCTGGCTAAAGCTAACCAGTAAGACATGCAGGGATTGGGAGAAGTTTCAAATGGCTGGTATCTGTTTCTGCTCACCCTTCATTCATGATGTTAGCTAATTAATCAGTTAAACATGTCAATGTCATTATCAAGTGTATTTTGATGGCAGAGTGTGTCCTCTAGGGAAAAGAGCAGAGTGAGACAGACACACATGATGTAACCTGGGTGGTTTAATGTATCCAGGACTTATTTTCCTTATGAAGAAAACAAAATCTGTGTCAGATGATCTCCATCATTACTAAACGATCTAATTCCTGAGTGTACTGTGATCCCCCAGCCGTTCAAGCACCCAAGCTAGAAGTCAAGCACACTCGGTCATCCTGAGAGGATAATCACAGGCATCTTCAGACGGTTTTTGCCACCTCTGCTCTTGACCTTTGATAACCAGCATCTGGCAAGAACCTCACCTGACTTGAGATGTAAAAGATTTCACAACTCCCAGCTCAAAGATACAGACAGGGTTCCCTTATTGCTTGAATTAACTCTATAAACACTTCATCGTGTCTTAGAGACACTCTGACCCATGCCTATTTCTCCCACCTCATTCCCCTTAAGTCCTACATCAAAGCACCCACTTGGCACAAGGTTTTAGGGTGTTTGCCTGGAAATTTGTTCTCCTTATGCAGGGGCCTCATCAGCCAAGTCTCAGCCTAAATGTGTCATTAAAAAAGCAAAACAAAAACCTTTCTCCTCTGTACATTCTGTATTTTCTAATATTTTATTCATAACCCTTATTGCTGAAGCTGTTTGTCTCCTTTCTAATTCGTTTTGTTCTTTTTTTGCACGCTTGAATCTAATGGGTCCTATACGCTGGAAACCATCCTCTTGATCACCTCTCTGTCCCCAGCACGGTGGCGCTGTTCACCACACGGATACTCACGAGTATTTGCTGAAGGGCTCCTCAATATTACTGTGTGTACTTTACAGATCTAAAATTCAGTAACTTGGTGTTAAATCTAAGCTCTAAAGTGCCATATACTGCATATAATGTTATCCATAATCTGCCAACTATAGTTAAACTTTCCAAATACTAAAAATAGACTAAGTTTAAGTGGCAGCCAGGAACCGCGGTTCTCCAACGCACAGTTCACGGCTTCTGTGTATCTCTAACCTCTTCCAGAGGTGCCAATCCGCGGCAGTGGACCGTCAGTTTTGGAACAACAATAAAACCTCCCCTGATGAAAAGAAACGTCAGAAGGATCGTAGTCCACGAGCGGTATCGCTCCCCATCCAAAGAGTACGACATCGCCGTGGTGCAGCTGTCCTCCAAAGTGACCTTCACGGACGACGTGCGGCGCATCTGCCTGCCGGGGACCTCGGCCTCGCTCCCGCCCGACTCCACCGTGTACATCACCGGCTTCGGCTCGCTGCACTACGGCGGTGGGTGTCTCCTTCCTGCCTGCCTGTGAGGTCCTTAGCGCTCTTCTCTTGCAAGTCACACCACTCGACTCAGATGAACCAAACTAGAAACAAAGGCAAACCAGCTCCACCCTTGATCTTGGTAACTCAGAAATCCATAGACGCCAGAGTCTGTCTGCAGACAGCCAGCACCAGCGGAGGTGGAGCTCCAGCGCTGCTGGGTCCGGTCCTTGCCAGGTTGCTTCAGGGGACAGAGTTCTGGCGCCACGCAGTGGCGAAGGTGGCTAACAGCAGGCCCGCGATATTCCGATGGAGTGACCCTCCTACTCTGATCCCAAAAAGGAAAATGCGCTTTAATAATGAAAAGGCTGGTGAAGGGTGTTTATAAATAAGACTAGTGTAGAGATAAATCAGCAAAACATTTTACCCTTTCTAAAACGATTGAATTTGATACACTAACTTAATCACCTAAAAAATAATATTGTACTTAAGGAATGTTATCAGATATTCTCCTAAGACTTACTCTGGATTCCGCAGTTGTGCCCGGGAGCACGTGCATACCGATAGTAAAAAAAAAAAAAAAAAATGATCTATGAGCTTGAAATGAAAAGGGAGCCTTTGAAACTGGCAAAATGTGCATATAGAACTTTATATAATTCGTTTTTATATAGCAAATTTTAAGGAATAAACCTCTATCTCTCAGTATCCACTAAAGAACTAGGATTGCCCTTCAATAAGATAGTCAGAAATAGCTGTCATGGTCTGTATTTTCTTCAGATACCCTGCATGGTTTGCACACATCTCATAGGTGCTGAGTACGCATTACTCTCTTTAAGGTCATATTGCTAATCACAGAAATAGTACCCATTGTACATCAGTTTCACTACAATAGAAAGGCAAACCTAATGCTTCATCTGTCTGCACTTTCTATGAAGTACTCATCTTATGATAGAGTTTGCAGTCGATTTCACAGAAATAGGAGGAACCTGGAAAATTCCCTATGGCTTGGTAGGAAAAATCATTTTGTGGCATTATTTTAAGATTAGTGCAGAGATATATCTGCCATGATAACTCATTAATAACAATAGAGTTTATATTCCATTCCAAATGTTAGCATTTGTCAAACATTCAAAGCCAAAACAGCAGTAAAACATGAACTACAAGCACCCATGGGTCACTCGCCAAGGCAGACCATGTCCAGAGTCATAAAACGAACATTAACAAGCATGAAAGAATTGAAATCACACAATGTATATACTCTGGCATTAATGAATTCAAAGCAAAAACTAGTAACAAAAAGATAAGAGGAATATCTTCAAAGGCTTAGTAATTAAATAGCACACACATAAACAAAAAGCGAGTATCAAGGAAAAAAATTTAAAATACATAGACTGAAATGAAAACTAAATTCCATTTTACTGTCCAGGAGACAGTAAAATAAAGGCAGAAACTAGTAGCAAATGCTTACATTAAAAAAGAAGAAAGATCTCAAATCAATAGCTAAATTCCCCCCTCAAGAAACAAAGACAAGTAAAGCAAACAATGGTAAGAAATAATGAAAGTAGAAATGAATAAACTTGAAAATAATAGAAAAATTGATGGATAGAAACTTCATTTTCTGAGCTAGATGTGGTGGCACATTCATGAAATCCCAGCAGTCAGGAGGCTGAAGCAGGAGGATGGTTGTGAGCTCTAGGTCAGCCTAGATAGTGAACTCAAGGTCATTCTGAATTACTGTGGGACCTTGTTTCCAATACATAAATAAATTTTAAAGGCTTATTCTGCAACAAAATCAACACTTTTAAGAAACATTACTAAACACTTCCATGATGTATAAGAGTTCAAGGACATCCAGAATTTATGAGCTTTGTTTTTTCTAATTCGGAATATATATCATTAACCAATTTGCTGAAAAAGTTAAAAATTCACATCATCATCTGAAAATTTTTATTTACATTACCCTTTTCAACACAGGACATGCTTTTTTTTTTTTTTTTTTTTTTTTTTTTTTTTTTTTTTGGTGTTTTGTTTTGAGACAGGATCACACTAAACAGTTCAGGCTGGCCTTGAGCTCACTATGTAGCCCAGGTTGGCTTTGAACTCATGATCTTCCTGCCTCAGCCTCTTAAGTGCTGGTAAGTTGGTGATTCAGTAGACCCCAAAAAATGTGTATTTAAAGAACAGAATAAGCTTTAAAATTCCTTAGCATATTTCTGGGTTTTGCATTTATATTTTTGGAGCAGTTATAAAAATGTATTTGTAAACACTTCTCCAGAAATGAATCTCAAAATGATCTTCTTGGGATTCTAGAAATGGTGCGAATATTCACTCCCCGTTCCAACACTGTATAAATAAAGCACGGCAGATTTCACAGCTTAGAACAGCACTCTTCACGGCTGTCTCACAGTGTCTGTGCCTCAGTTCAGCCACAGCTTGGGTACACCCTCTACTTGGGGTCTCACAAGGCTCCAGTCATGGCATTGGTGGAAGGGGCCTCGGCTGTGCTCCCCTCTGAGATCACTGCTTTTTGACAAAATTTCATTCCTTCAGCTGAAGGAATAGCATTCATGGCACTTGCTTCCTAAATGCCATTTAAAAAGCCTCTTTGACTGTAGGGAAGTTCCAGACAATTGATGGGAAGCCTTACCTGACTGATTTGCTCACACCCACCTCGGATAACCTCCCACTTGATTAATTCAAAGTAAATTAGACCATGGATCTTATTACAGGTGCAAAATTCCCACATCTCTGCCCCAGAAAATTCACCTCACAGACAGTGATACCCATCGTATTTACAGATTCCCACCCACACTGGGGGAAATGGGAATCACACAGCAATCTTGGGGCATGTCTTGGAATTCTGCCAAGGAGACTGTCATGATTTCCTCGCCAGAGTTTGGTTGGGTTTGAATAACCTCAGAATGCTTTTGTTATTCTTAGTTTTCTATTGAATATGCTTGTCATAAACTGATTTATAACCTGGAAGTCCAAACTTACACAAGAGACAAAGCCATTGTTATTTAATGCCATTACATACCTGAAAGCTCTTTATGAAATGTAAAGCATAAAATAAATGGACACAGTATGATATTCATTTCTTGAGAGCAAGAGAGAACACTAAGAATTCAAAGTTTATGAGAACAGTGTGAACCATAAGTACAAACTTCATGAAAAGTGGAATGCCATGCTGTCAAAATAAACTATTTTTAAAGTAAAGAGACAAAGATTTTACAACAAGGAGACCACATTTTTTGCTTGCATATAGTATTTACAAAAATATGATAAGATATCATTAAATGTGCCATACTTTATTTAGATTTTCTTCTCTAAAGCTGGTTATATTAACTTTATACTGAGTTGACACTTTTATAATGAAGAAGACTAAAAAAAGTTACTGGCTTTCATTAACTAAGGATACTAACTAAAAGTACTAAAACTGTTTTCTTTTTTTTAAGGAGAATACCAAAACAGTCTTCGAGAAGCCAGAGTGAAGACCATCAGTAATGCTGTGTGCAAGCAACCATTTGTGTATGGCAACGATATAAAATTTGGAATGTTCTGTGCTGGATATCTGGAAGGAATTTATGATGCATGCAGGGTAGGTGAAAGAGGGGAAGTGATCCCATACATTATCTCAAAATTTTTATCTGTCCCTGGAATTATTCTGTGTTCCTTATTCTAGTACAAAATACAAATATCATGCCAGCTCCAAAGGTTTTAACTATGAGTTTCACAATACAAACATATTTTTCAGTGTTGTATTAAGCAAAATGAAGTTAGGAGAGTTTCTTTGATGCTATCATACAGACTCATCAACAACATTAAAATTTCTTAATAATGAGAAATCTAAGGATTAATAAAGGAGAGTCTCTTTCCTCCAAGGTCTCACTTTCTAAACAGTGAGCCACTATATGCAGTGGCTAACTGGGAGGTGACACCATAAATAAAACAGTGGAGAGCAAATACTTTTTCCATAAGGGGAATATTTTTGGAACCTCAGAGTCTCAGACAGAGAAATGGTATTTTAATGAGGAATAAAGAAAAACAGCACTTACCCCATTACAGAAAATGGAAGGAATATTACAGAAAAAAGAAAAAGACCAGCCACTGTTACAAAGATGTGAAATTGTAATTCATGGTTGAGGGAACCCAAGTCCTCTGCTGGGTCTCAGTATAGCAAGGAACAGAGGCAAGAAGTCTAAGTAATTATGAGAAGGTGGACAGGCCATCTTGTCAGCATCCTAGAGTTCTTCCCAGTGACTTTTCTGTCTTCCAGAATCTGTCCAGCATGCATGTTTCATGAAAAAGGTGTGAGTTGTTTTCTTCCTGGAGGCACTTGCTTTTTAATATGAGATTCTTGAAAAATTCCAAGGAGGTGACTCTACCTGGTGAAATGCTGGACGTGGTATTGGTATCAGGAAGTACAAAGCTTGACCTAGAGCCCCCCATAGCAGGGCAGCCCCTGTCACAGAGGAGTGGAGCGTTTCATAGTAAATCAGCTCTGCAAGGCAGTATTGGGCACGTGTCCATTCTCAATTGCAAGAATGTAAAGAGAGGTGGCTAGAATACCAGGACTTCAGCAAGAAACTAGTGAACGTTGTCTTTGGGAGCCTTGTAAGAGGTGGGCTGTGAGAATTCCAAAAGCCACATTCTGGATATCCCTCAGCAAGGCCTGGAGAACATACAAAGTCGTCCCTGGATTAAGGAGTAGAAGTAAGCTTCCTGCCTGCCTGTGGAATGAGCTCTTGTCATAGGAAAATAGGAGAGTCGTCAGGGCAATGACAGGCCCAAGGATCAAAAACAGGAACACAGCACTGCCGGTGGGTACCTGAGGAGGGAGCCTTAGTCTGCTGATGAGAAATAAATCCGTGTGCTGATGTCATCCTTACACTTACCAAATTCTGATGTAGAAGTCAACAAATCCCTTCTCCTACATACAGGACTTCTACCAGAAGTCTAGCCAGACAAGACACAAAGAAACAGAATTACAGATATGAAAACCAGAAATGAAAAGTTTTCACACTTAGGGTAGGTTTGTGACTTTGGTCCTGTTTCTAGTTGAGTCCAAAGCTGATGAAAGGAAAGACCCGCTAGTTGTAACCACCATCCAGCAGTGACTGGAGAGCTTGCTTAAAACGTTATTTGAGATCGTTCCAGAAAATTGTAGGTGTGTTTTGAGCATTTTTTTCTCCAGGGAACGTATACTTTAAATTCAGGTAGTTAGGAGTATAACACAGGGAAAATTAGCCCACAATCTTCCATGATCACTGTGTTGTCCATCCCATAAAGTCACCTCATTTATTTGTTCACAAAGCCTGAGGGGCTGCACTTTGTGCCAGCACTGCAGATAGATCATGGGCAACATGAGAGACACCTAAGAAAGAGTGCTTGAAAGAAAAAGATCATGAGAAATAAATGTGATTGTGAGAAATAATGTGATTAACAGGAACACAGCTGAAAAGTGCCTGCAGTTGTACAAGCACTTAGAGAAGAGCGGGAGTTTACCAGGAAGTTTGGGAATAATAACGATAAACTAAAGAGAGGACCATGGTGAACACAGAACTGGCCCCGTGGCCCAGCGTCGGGCTGGAGGCTGGTGTGAGGGAGACACCCCACCTGACACAGCCAGGGAGACGTAATCCCACGTTCAAAATCCCCCCGTGAACGGTGTTGCCCATCCCCTACCCATGTGCATTTTATATTCACATATTTTAGGTCACTATCTTATTGTCATTCGGTTTTTATTACATATTTAAATACTTTTTGTATTTATATTACTTATCATTTCATAGTTTCTGATTAAAGGAGCTCCCCTCCTCTGTGCATGTGTGTGCTCCTCAGCCCACCCTGCTGTGTTTGCTCCTCTCACCTCTGTGCCCATGTCTGGCGCTCATGGCTTTCTGCTTGATATCACCAGTCTAGCGCTTATGTGTCCAAGTGAGGAGGGCCTCGAAATCTCCTTGCTCATTGAATTTTTCCTGAGTGATTAATTATTCCATTAAGAGGAACTGAGAATTAGTGGAGAGGAGGGAAGGAAGCAGCAAGACCACTTGAGCTGTAATCTGTCTAAACTCAAGATTTACCAGCGTTCTGCAGACGTCCTGTATTGCAGCCAGTTGGGGTGCTTGTTAATATGTAGGTCCTGGGTCGTGTCCTGCACCCACTGGACCTTTAGACATGAGCATTCCAGATCTGCCTTTAAGAAACCACACAGGGATTTCTGTTCACAGTGAAGCCTGACAAACACTGATAAACCAATGCAGGCTATAAACCTCAGGGTGCTTACGGCAATATAACCATCCAGCCTCACCTCAGGTAGCCCAGTATCATTTTAATGCTCAGTACAGGGTTCTTAATGATCATGTGTGTTTCCATATTTCTCATATTGTAAGGAATGTTGTTTGTTGAGGCATCTATTATATCCTATTTTCTGTTGATTCTCCTTCTGTGTTTCTTTTCTCTTGTTCATCATCAGGGCGATTCTGGGGGACCGTTAGTTGTAAGAGACAATACAGACACCTGGTATCTCATCGGGATTGTGAGCTGGGGAGACAACTGCGGCCAAAAGAACAAACCTGGAGTCTACACAGACGTGACGTATTACCGACGCTGGATTGCTGCAAAAACAGGCCTCTAACTCATCACACAAGTTAAAAAGAAAGAGCTGTATGCAGGTCACACGCGTATGGAATCTACACACTCAAGCATGTGGAACAAACAGAGTGAGATTAAGGGTCAACTTGGCAACAGGAAACACATTGTGTGGTTTATTTTAGGGTCTCATTGGTTAAACAGTAGTCCGTAGCTAATTTATAAGATTTTTTTATTTGTAAGGTAAGGGGTCAGCTTATCCCAGCTTGGAAGCTACAGCTGGAATATTCAGCTCTTTAAAACAAGTAAATTGGGGAATAATCAAGATGTAGTACAAATGTCTGAAGATAGTCCGTGGAATTCTTGTAGTGCCTTGGCCCGGGGTGTCAGTGAGAACTTTCAAAGAGTTCAGGAAACTCAGTAAGTCTCTGTACTTTCTCTAGAACCCACAAATGCATTTTTTTCGTTTTCCTTATTCTTCCATGTTTTTCAAATTATTTTTCTACCACAAGAAGTAAATTTGCGACTTATAAAGCATTTTAGGCATTTTTATAGGGAACTGTATATGTAGGAAACAAAGTCTGAAAGAAGAAACCTCTAAATATTTTTGTGATCTTTTTTTAAAATACACACACACACACCAAACTACAGATCTATTCAGAGAAAACATAGTTATCAGCACAATTATTGTTTAATAAAGTGTATTTCTGTTATGAAGATTTGAGGGAAGGTGCTGATAACTTTTATGAGTCCAAGACAAAGGTACAAAATTTCAAGATGCACTTATATATCTTAATCAGTATGCAGAACTTTTGACCACTGTTACTGTAAAGTTAAATGGCTGGAAATAATTAAAAATTTACTAATAGCAGAAGAGTCAAAGAACACTTCTTTTACATAAAAAGGAAAAGTTTAGCCTTTGTATTTCTACTACCAATTAACCCCTATCAATTGAGCCTACTGCAATCCTAGAACTCTAGTGTATTAAAAAATTACATTTAAAAATAAATATAAAATTTTGGGTACTTTCCACATAAAATGCAGGAACAAACTGGAAAAAGAAAAAACATACTTTCTAAATTCAGTGTCTCTTGAAGTCCTTAAGAGAGTTAGCTGTCTATATTCCACACTATGACTAAAAAAGGCCTCATAGAAACACTGCTCTCTGCTTGGCAGTGCCTGTGACACACCAGGGCTTGCGGGCTGACTATCACTCACTCACACAGCACAAGTAAACATCAAACCACCGGACAATGGAACTGCTTCATCATCTCCCTCAGGTCCTGTTGAGAAGACAGAATAATGCTAGAGTAATCCAAATGAGATTCATATCTTATTCACAAAAAATTTACCCACAATTTAGCCTTGCAAAAGTTTAAAATTTAGAGAGAATTGCACAAGTCATATACTTATGTTGTGGTTTAAAAAAAATTGAAGCCAGGAAACATAAACGGCTTGTTGAAGCCACAGTTATTTTCGTCCCTAATGATCCTGAGCTCAGGAGCTAATTAAACATGTCTTTTTTCTTAGAAAGTATCTTTATGGTTGCCTACATTTAGTTAGTCATTGGATCTACGAAGTTTTCAGAAAAAGCTATTGAAATGGTGTTAAATGAGGAACTGCCTAAGGTTGTAATTTTAAATGATTCAGTCAGGCAGCTGGCTGCCAATTCTCTGACCTTACTTCGGGACACGGTCGCTTCTTCATGTAAATACATGAGTATGTAAATTGCTATGTGAGGTGGATTTAATTCTGACTTTTAGTGCTAAGATTCAAGAAATGACATTAGAGTTATAAAACACATATTTACAAACTGGTTTGTGTATGCAACATCTAATCTTGGGCCGCGTGTAAGTAAATGTAGATATATCGCTTTAAATCTAATAAAGTTGGTGATCAGAGCATTCTGCAAGCAACGTTATGGAGTCCATGTTTGGTCAGAAGTGTGAATTTTTAAATCAACTATTGTGTCACTCTGAAGCAAGATTGCATAACTTTGTTGCTTTTGGCATTTCGGCATGGAAATTCTCTGTGAAAGGGATGATATCTTTGTTGTAGCATATTTAGCAGCATCCTACGGAAGGCCCTTAACACACCCTTCCCCCAAATTATGATAACTAAACATACCCATAGGAACTGGCAAAAGTTTTCTTGGGCTACTATTATGCCCTATTGAAAACTACTATTTTGAAAGCAGTTAATCATTTGTTTAAAAAATTATGACAAAGAGTATTTAGCAATTAGACTAACTTGCTGAACATTTACCATCATGTTTCTAAAGGAAATAGTGAATAAATGATACTTCCGTCAGCAGCTATTTCTAATTCAGAACACAGACTGGTCTCCCCAGTCACATCATGCTTATAGAATTTCTCTCTCTGACATGGCCAAGGCCTTGGGTTCCACCTCCAGCACATCCCAAAGAATAATAGTAATGAAGGTAAGTTTACTTCTGATTTTGATTTTGCCCAGAATACAGTAAAGCATCACTAATAATTACTGTGAAGATACTTTTATGAAAAACACTTTCTGATGTTTTTCTACTTCAACAACAAGCCACAATAAGAAATTAATATCATAGTTCCATGTGTGCTCAGTAAAATGCATGCATCCCCTTGCTACGTGCAATGAAATCTAATAATTTTTATTCCACTATAGTCTCTTTTTTAAAAAAATATTACACCAAATAAGGGTATAATATGATCTAATAAGCCATGACATTCAATGTCTTCCATGAGGCAAAGACTGCCTTTGTCCTCTGTACCCCTTCAGTACACATGCTACTGTTCAGCACGTGTTTTCAATACACAGTTCTGGAGAGAATAAATTAGGCACTGACCACCTTGGTGGGCTGCAGGCTCATGACTTGCTCAGGATCTGCTCACCAAAGTCCATGCGTAATCAGATAACAACTGGGGCAAACAAAGACCTGATCCGAGGGGGCAACTTGAAAGAGAAGCCCGTCAGATGAAATCCAGTGGTGAGCTGGGGGTAGGGTGAGAGGCAGCGCTGCTTTCAGCTCAGCTCTCATGAACAGGCCGCCTTGGGAGGCTCACATCTCCCGGCTGAGAAGCCGAGTGTGGCTGTAACCTCCACCCGCTCACATATCCCCTCCAGTCCCTCCCCTTCACCCTGCTTAGTGGGTACAAAAGAATATCCTCAGAAATGTCTTTCTTTCTTTTGCCTGGTTTTGCTTGCTTTTAGTCCTTGTGTTCTCAATTTTTCTTCTTTTATCTATTTTTAATTTTTTTGGTTTTTGAGTATTTTGTGTAGTACATAGTATTGACATTGTTTGTGGGGAGCTGGCGCCTGTACATACCACGTCCTAATTCCCTCTTGGTTCCCTCTCTCCACCCATTTCTTGATCCCCTTCCTTAGCTAGTTTTTAGATTCCTTTTTCTTTCATTGCCGATCTCTCAGGCCTCTCTACCACATTAATCTGTGTTCCTAGGTTACTGGAAAAGGTAAATCTTGCTGAACAAACTCTGAACTGCATATTAAAATATGATTAGCTCTTTGGATGTCAGTACTTCTGCCGGCTATTCTCTCCTTGCAGTTTTATGCCAGGAGTCTCCACTTAGCATCAGTGTTTTCCAGGCCATTTTATTACAACATTCAACAGGAAAGCACAAGAATCGTAAGAAAACAGGACAGTAAGATGCTACAAAAAATTCATGACTCTCCAAAAGCTGATCTCCTTGATATGGAAGTGAAGGATGGTTCAGGCAAAGAACTCAGGAATGAAAGGCTTAAAATGTGGACAAGATCAAAAATAAGAAAATACACAAAGTGTTCAAAGAGCTCAAAGAGGATACAAATAATCGAAAAAGAATTTATGCAATAAGATGTTCACAGAGTTTAAGAAAACATGAGCAGCTGATTGAATTAAAGAACACAACGTAGGCTGTATGTGACCATTTTAGTAAAAATTAAAAGTCACGCAAATGAATTAAATAGAAATTCTGCAAATAAAAAACACTATTTAAAGCCAAGCAATCATAAGATGGAATTTCAGAACTGGAAGACAAAATTAATTTAGTAGATCACTGATTCAAAAAAGTAAGATCACTCACAAGAAATTATGAAAACTTAATTCAACAGCTCATGAGTAACTCTAGAAAATAACCCAAGAATTATAAAAGTTAAAGAATAGGAGATGAAAAATGATGGAGTAAAGACTAATATCAAAATGCAATTACTTTGTGACGTACAATTGAGACACCTGGAAAACTTCAAATTAGTGAAGAAAAAATATAGCTCCAGGAATTAGGAAAGAACCAACAAGAAAACTAGAAAGCACAGAGAAGCTGAGTACAACACCAAGAGAAGTGAGGCATCCGGAGAACTGATTCCAGCTTCCTGGGAGCAGCGCCGAGCTCTGTAACACAAAGTAGCCAGACAGCTCTGCAGCCCTCAGGAGAAACAGGGGCCATCAGCCCCAATCCCCAAAATGCATTTTGCTTTACACCATAAATGCTGTGTACAGTTTTACTCTGACAGTGATTCCCATTTGCCAGAACAGAACTGAAGAAGAAATTCACTGCAGTATCTGCACTGCTTGAGAGTGACATAATCAGAAGCCACTTGGGGAAGCAGTTTATGGTTTTAACTTGAGCCGCTCTGGAATCAGATATCACATAACAAATACAACCTAGGGCCTCTGGGGTCACCCTCCCATAGCCTCCCATAGTGACTGGGCGGGAGATGGCCACAGGAGACAGTCACAGAGAAGGAGCAGGCTAGTTGCAGATACCCTGAGAAGTTTAAGTAGTAGTGATCTCAGGCTGTGAAGGATAAGAGAGTCCCATACTTTGTGGTAAGACACCAGACTGGCCATTTTCTGAGGGGTTGAGTCTGAAAATGAACACTTCACATTTGCATGACTACTTGGTTACCTTGCAGAACAATGTCAGTGGTCTGTTTACTGTCCCCATCTGCCAGTGTGATCAGGAAGAAGCCTCAGCTTGCACAGAGGCCATATCTTGCAAAGGACGGATAAAGGAGCCTCCTAAACAAAAGAGACACCTCATAAGCCCACAAGCCATAGAGCTACTCAGAGATAAGAGCCACAGATGACTCAAGTCCTAGGGCAGACACACCATGGTGTGTCATCAGACACACCACTGATGACAGCCTGTGGGAAAGGCGCTGCAGGACTCCTTCACAAAGGCAGAAACAGGCATGGAAACAAATAGGACCTAGTGGAGCTCACAATACCCCACCCACATCAGGTGCATCCCAGTACCTCAGCCCCCAAAAGAAACTACCTACCCAAACATGCCGAGGAATCTGTTTGGACTTCTCTTTTTCTTTGTTTTTTTTGGTTGCTCCTATCTTTTCTCTGTTTTTACTCTATCTTTTTATATTTATCTTTTCATGTTACTTTGACCTAACACCATTAATTTCTTTCATTCTTTTACTGGACTTTTATCTGACTGTTCTCTACTCTTTTTCATCTTCCTTTTCATTCTTCAAATTTTACTTCTTCTATTTTCTCCCTTCTCCATCGCATCTATTTTTACTATTACATTAAGCTTTATTAATGTTTAGCTGTTTAGGTGACGCTACACTGTTATTTCTGAGTTTTTTCTATTGTTAACAATAATTGCTGCTTTTCATAAATATTTACTGTATGTCAATATTTGATTTGTCTTTGTGTCTGCATTATTACTACAGATCTCTTTTCTGTTATAAAGGATGATATAGTTGTAGCTATTATTGGTTCTTGCAATATGTCAATAACTGGTATGAGAGACCAGACGGGAAGATTAAGGCCTAATTGACCTCTTCTGTGAGCACTAGGGGGAAAGGCAATGTGAGTGGATGCTGACACTCTGCAGGGAAAATTAATACAGTTGAGAGTCTTTTGTTTCCCTGCATATGTACCATGGGTAGTGGGAGAACTGTTTCATTCTAATTGCTTATGCCCATGTCTGAGTAAGTAAAATCAAGGTGCACCAGCTCTTGG